TTCCTGCAGACACCGTGTCACTGATCCTCCAGGCACCGGGTCCAGGGAGAGGTCAATATAATCCTCCTCGCTCCGAGACTGGGCTCTGCATCTGCAGAATAAAGAAACAAGAGCCAGAGAGTTCATGACAACATATCCTGAATGAGAGGCTTTATACCACAAATGCGGACGAACATTTTTATATGGTCAACACAGGAAATCTTAAAACCCTGACTGTGGATTCTTACCCTTTGCAGGTTCTGGTGCTCAACATCTGGAAAGTAATATAAGCATTTACAGGGCAGGTGTAACTGATGCCCAGCTCGAACGACAAAGATTTCATCCTGTTCAGCACGCAACTGAGGAATTTATGGGCATCCTGCACAGAAACATCCAAGAGTTTTTACACAAACATTTTTTTTAAAATATCAATGTGGTACTATGCTGTGTATTACGAGTAAAAATCACACTAACTTTCTGACAGTTGTACTTAAACTCTGAGTTAAACTCAGCAACAGCCCTTTTAAAGTCAGCCAGGACTTCTTTCTTCTCCTGGGTATTGCTGGGGGAGCAGCAGCCTGCAACTGCCACAAAGTCTCTGGAAAAGAAGGTGTTTTTTTAGTTTTTGTTACTTCCTATTGATCTATAAAGTTAGTAGACAAACCAAACGGTGCTAGCATCTGTGTAAATGTGTGTGTGTTGCTGTACCTGATGAGCTGACATTTAGGGTGAGTGCTCCACACCTTCTTCTGCCTGTTGACATCATGAATTAAATGTTTCAGCGTCAGAAGACCTTTCAGAGTAGAGTTCATGTGGCAACTCTGCGCCAGGTTGGGAAACCTTAAACACAACAAGATGATGACTATATGTATCATCTGTATATGAGAGGTTACACTAAACCAAATCTAGGAGAAACATTTGTTGTGTGTATGAGTCTCTGTGCCAGGGCTTACTCAAGGCAGACCAGATCTTTGTTGGGGCAGTCCTTCATGATGCATGAGGTAAACTGATTTTTTAAGTGTCCATATATGTTTGTCCAGCAGCTGGTGTTGTGGGAGTCTGCCTGTAGACCCTGACCACGCCTGGATTCAAGGTTAACAAGCAACTTCAACATTCTCTTCTTTTTTACTGCTGGTGTCATTTGAGCTGGACTTGTAGTTTGTTTGGACTTGGGTCAACTTATCATGTGACTCGTCATTAGCCATTTCATAGGCAGAGGCTCCTTCATCAAGTGGTGCCGCTTTGTTCTGGACACTGGCTTCACCACCCTCTGATTCCTTGATGGCAATGACACTGGTGCTAATAGATAACAAATGTTATTCTATTGCATGATCCAGTCATAGGAATGAACAACATAAACTTCAATTAATTAAAGCAGTAACAGAAGATATACAAATCTCTTACATGTTTTTTGAGGCAGAGGATGTTTGGAGGTTCTCATCTTCTGCCTTATCTTCTTTCAGTGGTGCCTCTTTTTTGGTTTTCTGTTGGTTACGAACATATAAACCCAGTTAAACTCAGCTGGAACCAACACAAATAACTACAACACTATGTTCACAGAAATTATCCACAGTATTCGACTCTCTTAAACATACTTTCTTATGAGGGAACCATCTCCACCAACAGGAAACCTTTGATTTGTCCTGTGGAGCCTGCCAGAGTCTCAGGGACCACACCTTTTTGCTCCGGGTCATCCTCCACATTGACACTGGTAATAATCAAAAAATACACATGATTATTCAACTGTGTGCTGTTATCAAAATGCCTCTGTTGTCAATCCAAAAACAAATATTTAGATATTTATGATAGTGTGTACCTGTGTATCCTTACAAATTAAGTAAAACAGTTTACAAGATATGATAATAAGCAAAGTAAAGCATTTACTATACCTCTTATATGAGCTGGAGCTTTGCTTTTCTCCAGTTTCCACACCAACTTCATGTATCTTCTGGTAAAAATATATAAAACGTGCATGATTATTGTGAACAGTTCAATACCTGTGCAAGCAAAGGCAACACGTTGTTGCCTCAGACATGCTTTGCTGATGCTGTACAAGTGTTATGGGATATTAGGACAGCAGCCCTGTAGGAAGAAGTGTGTAAAAGTGTTTATAAATACAAAATTATACATTAAAACCTGAACATCATTATTAAAGACAACTAGTAACTACATGTTTAGGAAGTACAATAGGAGGGAGACAGGGGTTGATTGTAACACCTTTGTTTGAGCATCACTAACTCAGTGGCTGTTTGTGCTCTCAAATTTTGAAACACGGTATCTATATTTGTCTACTACAAATAAAACTTAATTGGACAACAACTACACAATCACAGATTATGTGAGTTCATGTCAAATACAAAGAGTTTCGTTGTTACAACCTACCCCAGTGGTGGGGTAGGTTGTAACAGTAGCTGGACGTAACAACAAGACATAATTTTCTGAAATAATATCCAGACTATCTAAATTATGCAAGGATGATGATCACACACTTCAGGAGGAGTAGCCACTATCACCCTCCCCTGCACATTGCAGGCACAGTGGTACAGGTGGTCTCTAGCTTCAAGTACCTTGGACTGCACCTCGATGACAACCTCACCTGGTCCATCAACATAGCCAGCATTGTAAAGAAGGCCCACCAACGCCTCTACTTCTTGAGGAAGTTGACACATGCTGGCCTTGGCCCTCCTGCCCTCTTTTCATTTTACAGATGTGTAGTGGAGAGTGGCCTGACCCATTTCTTCAACATGTGGTACAGAAAATGCAGTGCAGCGGGTGGTTAAGGCTGCACAGAGAGTCAATGGAGGCAAATTACCACGATCAACAGCAGCTGGCTGCTGCAGGAGCAGAGCCACCAGCATCATGAAGGATCCCATTCACCCTGCACATGGTCTGTTTGCCCCACTACCTACAGGGAGAAGACTGGATGGCATTAAGGCCAGAACCTCTCGCCTTAAGTCCAGCTTCTTCCCTGAAGCTGTTAGGCTGATGAACAGTACATCATGCAGTGACAGGTTTTAGATGCTGCTCATTAAATGCAATATTTTAACTATTATTTTTTTAGGAGGATTTATT